CAAGAGATCAATGTCCTCTCCAAAGCCAGTGCCAACATTAAAAGTTTCCTTTTATGCTTGCATCCTAAGTCACAAAAACTGACCATCCCTCAAGGATATACCCATGCCCCCAGGACATCCAAGCGGTCCCAGCAAGACACCCCACGGGGCAGGCACTCCTAGCTTGAGGGCCCAGACTTGATTACCTGGACTGCCTGCCGATCCCTTTACTCACACTGGGAACCTGGGGGATGTCTGTGTTCCCCCCACCCCGGTCCACCACTGCTACAAGCTGGTGGTCCCTGAGAAGGGTTCAGAATTCAGCCAGCATCCACCAGTGTGCAGGACATGTGCTGCCTGGGTCGGGGGTGGCACGTGTGCCCGCCCGTGTGTGCAGGGTGACCTTGCATAGTTCAGGAGGAAGTTACAGTGTTGGCATGGTGGGGGGATGTGGGCTTGTACATTCTGAGATGCCCCAAAACATTTGCATTTCTGTCTCCTACAGCTCATTCTCCTGGTACAAGGTGGAAAGTGAGATTCAGACTCCCATTTTCAGAAACTTCCCGGTGACAGGTGTGGAAAGGATGGGGATGGTAAGTTAGGGTTCAGGAGGCCAAACAAGAACCCATCCCCACCCGTGCGGCGCTGTACAGGTTCCAGAAGGGACTTTCCTCCGGGTCGGGTCCCTAGGAGCGGCGGCGCTTCACCCTCCCTGCGAGGTGGCCCCAGGGATGGAGGGAGAAACGCTGCCTCCCGGCCCTGGCCCAGCCCTCCTCTGCCCCTGCGCCCCAGCTCAAACCCTGCCAGTACCGCTCCAGCTGTCCCGCCCCAGCAGCCCGCACCCAGCCCGCGGGGTGGCCCCTTCCGCGGCCCCCTCTTGCCCCGAAGGCAGCGCTGGGAGGCGGCGGGGCTCGCGGGGTCTCTACCTTGCCTGGGGGAGGGCGTGTGGTGGGAGCTGAAGCGCCGGCGCTGGAGCTGGAGCCCGAGCCAGGCTGGAGGGGACGGGCCAGGCAGACGCGGCCGCCGCGGGGCCGCCCCGCTCCTGACGACACAGCTGCCCGCCCCCCACCCCAGCCGGCCCGCCCGCGCCCGCGCCCGGCGTCCCCGGCTCCCAGCACCTCGAGGCTGGAGAGGACCTCGGCGTCCAGGCTTCCAGTTGCCCGTAACCTGCTCCCTCCTCCCCGGAATGTCTGCAGGACTCGGTCCGTGCCACTTCTCTCCACTTCCTGCGCTCGTGTTTTCTTCCCGCGCCTGGGCAGGCTCTGCTTCTATTTTCCCTTATTATTTCTAATCACTCACAGCTTCTCTCCTCATCCCAAACCTGAAAGGCCAAGATGGGGGTGCCTGGCCGCTGATACCCCGCCAACATCTAAACAGCTGCCACCCTAGACTTCCCCCGCCAACTCCTTTCCACCCAAGTTGACTCTATGCTCAGGAGGTCCCACAGTGGGAGGCCCGAGGTACAGACTCCCCCACCCCCCCACTGCTTGAGCCCACCCACCCACCTTCCCCTCCAGGTTCCTCACCTCCCTTTCAGGCCTGTTTTCTTCCTTTTTCTAAGGACAGCTTATCTCAGCACTCATCCGCCTCTCACTTCTAGGGTAGACTCTGAGTGCAAAGTTCTCTGGTCTGCTTCCAGACCTTCTGCAGGTCCTGACCCACCCACTGTACCTGCTGACCTTGGTGGTGTTGCAGAGGCCCTGGGCCAGAGTAGAGCGAGAGGAAAGGGTATATTTTCAGTTTCTCCTGCCTGGCATCTACTCAGGCGTTTTCGAGGTTCTTGGGCAGCATGGATGGTGGTAGAGCAAGCAGAGAGACACACAGAAGCCTTGGAACTTACTGATAGACCTAGGCAGCCTGCTCCCTGGCCCCACCCCAAACCCTGTCTAACTCCCTCCTACCCTTCATTGAAGTAGGGCAGAGTAGTGAAGACTTGGGTTCCTGGAACACTCTCTTTTACACCTGGAGGTGCAAAGGGGAAGGGTGTGTTTGTGAGCTATACACACACACACACACACACACACACACATATGGTGGGGGTGTTGGAGAAGAAAGGGAATGAATGCATGATGCCCTCTGGTGGAAACAGAGGGATCTAAGCAGTTACTGATGGTTTCAAAATAGGCTTACTGGGAGAGATTCCCCCACTTTCATCAGAAATAGAGATGCTGAGTAATAGGGTTTGGGAGTGTTGCTGCTGAATCTAAGCTGGAGATCTGGGTAGCGACTGCAGAGGATCTGTCCCCCTGCTCCTGTGCCCCCTCCAGGTCTCACCCTGTCACTCCCAGCTTTAGAGACAATGGCCCTGCCACTCCTTAGCCTTCATCCATAGGATGTTTTCTCCACTGTTCTCAAAGCGTTGTCTCCCCTCCCTTTACGGCCTCTTAGGCCTCTTAGTCATAGTCAACAGACACTGCTGCAGGCCTGCTCCACACCAGGTTCCGCACTGCATTCTGCAGGGCAGGCCAAGACACAGCCCAGTTCAGACTGGGCACCAGAGTCCTTTGATGTGTGTAAAGCCTTCCTGCTCTGATCCACCCAATAAAGACACACGATGTAAGCAAACATAGATCTCCAAACCCTCTTCCAATTAGTTTCTTGCCCCTGGGCCTCTCTAGAAATCCTGGAATGATATGGATCTTTTGCAGTTTTCTTTATAAACACTTGCAGTGACACCTTATGTATAGCCTGCTTTTTCAAAAAGATGGATTTATTTATTTGAAAGAGTTATAGAGAGGGGGACACACACACACACACACACACACACACAGATCTTCTATCTGCTGGTTCACTCCCCAGATGGCCACAATGGCTAGCACTGGCCCATCTGGATCTCCCGCATGAGTGCAGGGGCCTAAGCACTTGGGCCATCTTCCACTGTGGGTTTTTTTTTTTTTTTAAGATTTTATTTATTTATTTGATTGGCAGATTCACAGACAGAGAGGGAGAGACAGAGAGAAAAGTATTCCAACTACTGGTTCACTCCCCAAATGGTCGCAACAGCCGGAGCTGGGCCAATCCAAAGCAGAGCCTCCTCTGGGTACCCCATATGAATGCAGGGGCCCAAGCACCAGAGCCATGCTCCACTGCTTTCCCAAACCACAGCAGAGCTGGATCAGAAGAGGAGCAGCCAGGATATGAACCGGCGCCCAAATGGGATGCTGGCATTGCAGGCAGTGGCTTTACTCACTACCCCATAACACCAGCTCTGTAGTCTGTGTTTTATTTCACTCCTTCATTTTCGGAAATACACGAAGTTAAAAGACAGTTAAAAAATTCTTCCTTTAAGACATTTTTTGGGACTTCAAGGTAGGGTTTGCATTTATCTGTCTAATAAAGAATAAAGTGAAGCCATCACAGTCTCGCCTGGTGTCTTCTTAGGCTCTGAGCTGGATTACAGCCTAAGTCAGTTACTGGTAGGGGTGGTGGAAGAAAGGCCAAGAAACATCTAGGGAGGAAGAAGCGTCTGTTGCCTAGGGCTCCAGGTGCTCATTGCTTTCATCAGCCACATCACAGAAGTCAGAAAGAAAGAAACCGCAATGAACAAAGGGAAAGGAAAAAACAGCAGCGTCTTCTCCCCGGGCCCCTTCTCTCCTCTCTTCCTCCTCAGGGTGGGGGGGCCACATCCGGGGCCCAGGGCTGGGTCCCAGGCTGGTCTGCTAAGCAGACTATCAAGTTTCACTTCCTGTCAGCTCCAGAGCGAGGACAGGATATCTGGGGGCGCAGAAGCGGGGCTTGGGTGTGGTGGCAAGCAGTCCACCTTAGGGTTGCCCCTTGTGGGACCATCTGGAAGCTGCAGACACCACTCCTCCCGTCTCTGCAGTCAACACCACTGCACCCTACTAGGTTTACAAGCTTGATCCCACACTCTCACCTCTTATCATTTATAACAGGACGGGATGCTAGGCTTCAAAAATTAATTAAATTGTATTTATTTGAAAGGAAGAAAGACAGACAAGATGCTCTTTTCTGCTGGTGCACTCTCCCCCACTCCCCCACTCCCCTACTCCCCAAACACCTGCAACACCCAGGAGCTGGGGACTCAATCCAGATCTTCCACGTGGCAGGGACCAGGGACCGGTGTTTGAGCCATCATCTATCACTTCCAAGATTGTGCATTAGCAGGAAGCTGAATGGGAAGTGGAAGAGCCACAGCAGGGATCCAGGCACTTCCATACGGGTTGTGGGTGTCCCTAGTGGGGGCTTAGTCTGTGGCAAACACCTGTTCCTGTCTTTTTGAGATCCGTGGAGACAGAGAACGGGGAGGAAGGCAAACTGTAGCCTCCAGAAGAGTTTGGAGGCTTCATTTGTAAAATTCCTAGTCAAACTTGCTCAGTTTTTGTTTTAAAATGAAAGGCAGTTAGAGAGAGAGGAAAAGAGAGAGAGAGATCTCTTTAACACCCCCCCCCCCACCAATGCCGCAGGTCTGGGGCTAGACCAGGCAGAAGCCAGGAGCCTGCAACTCCATCTGGACCTCCCATGTGAGCGGCAGGGGCCCAAATGCTTGGCCCAGGCACATTAGCAGGGAGCGGGGCTCATAGGGGATGCCGGCATAGACGGCAGATGCCTGTTTTGCTTTTTAAATGGGGTATGCAGCCTATTGTCGGAGGTTGTCAGTAATATTCTTGTCCTCCCTGGTTCCAGTTACTGCTGGGCATTAAGCTAAAATGGGAGAGATGGAGGAAGGTCAAAGGGTGGATAGGCAAAAAGCCACACAGGAGTGAAGGAGGGCAGAGTTAGCACCGGAGGAGGGGAACCTGCTGGCGGTCCCTGCTAGGTTATAGGAGAAACAAGTTCAACAGGACTTCTTAGCCCTGGAGGGACAACAGTTGCTGAAGAGGGAGAAGGGAGGGTGCACATGTGGTTCATCTGAAGAACAGGGCGGCTCCGGCCAGGGCAGGACTGCAAAGGCAGTGACCACACAGGGCCCATATTACTGCTTTCGATCCCCAGCCCTAGGAGACTAGGACGAGGTTCATTAAAATACTAACTGGATCCGCCCATGAGTCTTCACCCTGCCCTCTGACCCTGGGGCCAGCGCAGGCCAGCAGGGACTCGGGCCCTCGTCACTCCGCGGGCCGCCCCAGGGGCAGAGCCAGGGCCGGACGGCCCGCCCCACCCGCCCGCCTCCTCCTCGGTCATGGAAGCTGCCGGCAAGCCCGAGGCTGCGGGGACAGGTGACCGACCCCGCGGCGCGCTCCGCCTCGCACGCCCCTCTCGCGGGTCTCTGTCGGGAGAGTTGAGCTGGGCGGCCGAGCGCTCTCGGCAGGCGAATTCGCTGTCCCCAGCTGCTTAGAGAGGGTTAGCTGGGGTCTTCGTTCGTCCCCGGCAACCTTCGCGCGCCCCGTGCGTTTCAGGAGTTTGCCCGCCCCTTGTCACCGAGCCGCTTCGGGAACCTGGATGCAGGCCACCAAATCGTTTTCTTACTATCAGCTCTCCCCCTACCCGCAGACCCCCGCTTTCCGGGTGGAGGTGCGCTTTGTGGGCCCTTTTCCCTCGCAGGTCTTGGACGTGGAGGAACGCCTGGCATGACAGGGACTGTGCCTCGGAATTTCTCTCGGCACCCAGAGAACTGTGTTACACGCAGCAGGCGCTCAGTGATGGCATCGGTGGCAGTAAAAGAGCCCAGGGCTTTATTTTATTAACTGCTTCAGCTTCTCCCCTCTTCTCCTCCACCTCCACCCACGAAATGGTGCGCTCTCCCTTTAAGACTAAAATGGTGGCTTGCTGCGATCAGGACTCCACTTCCGGTGGGGAGGGGGGCGGGACCCCAGCCCGCTCACGCCGGAAGTGGTTTGCGTTTTCAAGATGGCGACTCCCTATGTAACTGACGAGACCGGCGGTGAGTGCGGGAGGCGCGGAACCGCTTCTCCCCGGGCTCTCGGGGCAGGGGTTCGAACTTGGAAAGGGGTCTGTGCCCCGCCCATCCCGGGGCCCCTCCTTTGCCCCGCCCTCCGGACCGCCTTCCCCATTCATTCTCTTCTCCGGGGTGTCACCTGCGCCCCCTTCTGGTCTCTTGTTTGGGGGTCTCTGCTTCCGGTCACTCAAACCTGGGGGTCCTTCAATGCTTGTTTCTATTCCAGGACCCTCGTGGGCCATCAGCTGCTCTCCGGCAGTTGGAGCACCCGTATCTCTTTTGGGTTCTCCAGCCTTGGGGGCTCCTGCACTCTCAGTTCCCTCCAATTCCTGCCCTCCTCCTTTCCCCCTCCCCCCCTCTCTTAGCTGTGCCTGCTTTCTGCCCTACCCTAGCCCCGTTTTCATTCTTTTTCTCGAAGCTATGTCTGCTGAAGACCTCCTCCTTGCTATATGGTGCTTTTTCCACTTTCTCATCTTCAGTTGTTGGGTCGCTGAGGTCCCGAGGTATAAAGGGACCTAAAATAACTTTCAGTTTGAGTTTTCTTGGTGGCACCACCCTTCTCTGCCTTCTCAGATGATGGCAATAGAGTGTGAGGGGTCTGAGTGTGGGAGAAGGCAAACAGGAGGTGTCTGGTGACAAGCCCTTTGGCAGGTTGGTAGAGCCCACTGTGCCTTCTGCCTGGAGTGTCTGAGATATTGAAGTGTCTTGCTAGTGTATGTGAGGCGGGTGTTTTGAGAAAGAGAATCAAGGCTTTCATCATGGTTTTGTCCCACCCTAATGACCCCCTCTTTAGCAAGATGTGCATGGTAGTAATATCTCCCCAGTGGTCAAATAAGATAGTATACGTGAAAGTGGTTTGCAAGGTGCTGTGCAAGTGTTAAGGTGTTGGTTTTTGTGTTCTCTAGAGGTGACACTGCGTGCTACATACGGGCTGTTTAGAAAAATGCCATTTATGCCTCTCTCTCTGCTGTTTCCACGTTCCTTACACCTCAGTCCACCTATGTTATGGTACCTAGTGAAAATAAAGGTGTCACTTCTTCTCAAGCTCCTGTTTAAAATGGTACTGCGTCTTTCCTTTTGCTTTCTCCTCAGTAAGTCCTTTATAAACTAACAATTTTTATTTTTTTCTTAGATTGATTTATTTATTTAAAAGTCAGAGTTACACAGAGAGAGGAGAGGCAGAGAGAGAGAGAGAGGTCTTCCATCTGCTGGTTCACTCCCCAATTGGCCACAACGGCTGGAACTGCGCCAATCTGAAGCCAGGAGCCAGGAGCCTCTGCCAGGTCTCCCACGTGGGTGCAGGGGCCCAAGGACTTGGGCCGTCTTCTACTGCTTTCCCAGGCCATAGCAGAGAGCTGGATCAGAAGTGGAGCAGCCCGGTCTCAAATTGGTGCCCATATGGATGCCAGCGCTTCAGGCCAGGGCATTAACCCACTGTGCCACAACGCTGGCCCCTAAACTAACAACTTTTAATGCATGCTTTAAAAATATTATAATCACCCAATACCTGCTTCTCATTGTTACTGTGATTTTCATTAGATAAAACAGTTATTACATCTCACCCTATCCTGCCACCAAGAGGTATCTTCTGTTCCCTGTCACTATGTAGAAGAGAAGCGGGAGTTAACTGCTTTTTTTTCTTTTTCTTTTCTTTACTACTTCCAGGTTGTCGACCTACCACTGGCGCTAATCCTTGTGGAAGGTATTGCTATGCAATTATAGTAGTTTCGCTAAGACTTCCATGTGCTGCCCAGACCTATGGCATATTTTTTCTTGGTATCATTCTCAGAGTCTCAGGCACCTGTGTGATACTTTGATCTCATAGTTCCTCAGTGTGAAACCATGGAGTTTGCTTTGAATTTCCAAAGCAGCTGCACATCAGAATCACTACATCCTGCATCTCCTGTGACACTGCTTTTCTTTTGGGTGTTCCCCACAACTTTCACCTCCTTATCACTACCTTCTTCACCATCCTGAACCCACAGAATCAGCTTTTTGTCTTCCTTAGCTCCTCTGGTTCTTGACCCTTCCATTGTGTTGGCTTTGCCAGGACCTCATGGCTACTATGACGCCACCTAGCCACCCCTGTATGACTACCCACTTTGTTACTATCCTCATTGCTCTTTTCATTAGTTGTGATCTTTTATACTAAGCAAGCATTTCCATGATCTTGAATCATCCCTGTCAACTCTCAACTCTTTTTTTTTGGCTTCTAGGCCATACTACATTGAGAGAGAAAAAGTCCAGAAGCTAGCAGATTCAGTAGAAAGTAAGTTCATGTTAACTTCTGCCAGGATCACAGCTTCTTTCCAATTATTTTTTCCTTATATTGTCCCTTGGCTATTTCCTCAGCCTTTTCTGGTTCCTGTGGCAGATAACCTCACTTTATATTTCACTGAAAAACCCAAGGTCCTTGCTCTTCCTTGTTTGCAGCCAGGTTTCTTGAATATCAGGTCTACACCTGTTCTTTCCATTTCCCTATTGCTTATCTGCTTCTTAACTCTTTTCAGTCATTGTTTCTAGCACCATACTCTTCTGAGTTGCCTATCCCCAGTGGAGCAGGTAGGTCTCAAGCTGGTGCCCATATGGGATGCCGGCGCCGAAGGCGGCGGCTTTACCTGCTGTGCCATAGCTCCAGCCTGCCCCTATATGCTTTCAAGGTACCATATCATGGTAGGGTTTTTGTTGTTGTTTTGTCTTCTTTGCTGTCTTCCCTTCTTTTTGAAGAAGTTTTGGGCTCATATATTTCCTGCTGCAGTCCTAGAACTAACCGTTTTTCCAAGAAGCACTTGTTTTTATTAAAAAATGGTATTAAAAACCAACATCTGAGCACTAGGTGTTTTCATTGCTTTTGGGATATTTGCGCATCCTCTTTTACTACTCTTTCCCCTCCCCCTACAGTGAAATAGCATTCTTGTGTTTATACTGCTGTTATCCTTGTCCACGGTCAGTACTTGCTAGTTACATGGTGTTGGGAATTTTAAGCCTTGGGAATGTAAGCCTTAGTTTTCTCATTGCTGAAACTGGAGTAACAGCTCCTACAACATAGGACCATTGTATGAATTAAAACTTAAATGATTTCTATGTCTGGCACATAGTGTCCAACATATATTTTGCAATTACTACAATTATGAAGGGTTATTGTATGGATTAGAAGATCTTTTTCTTTTTTCTTTTTTTTCTTTTTTTTTATTTTTTTATTTGACAGATAGAGTTAGACAGTGAAAGAGAGAGACAGAGAGAAAGGTCTTCCCTCTGCTGGTTCACCCCCTAAATGGCCACTATGGCCGACGTTGCACCGATCCGAAGCCAGGAGCCAGGTGCTTCCTCCTGGTCTCCCATGTGGGTACAGGGCCCAAGAACTTGGGCCCTCCTCCACTGCCTTCCTGGGCCATGCCGAGAGCTAGACTGGAAGAGGAGCAACCGGGACAGAACCGGAGCCCCGACTGGGACTAGAACCCGGCACCCATATGGGATGCCAGTGCCGCAGGTGGAGGATTATCCAAGTGAGCCATGGCACCGGCCCCTCTTTCTCTTTCTTTCTTTCTTTCTTTCTTTCTTTCTTTCTTTCTTTCTTTCTTTATTTTTTTTTTTTATTATTTTTTGACAGGCAGAGTGGACAGTGAGAGAGAGAGACAGAGAAAGGTCTTCCTTTGCCGTTGGTTCACCCTCCAATGGCCGCCGCGGCCAGCGCGCTGCGGCCAGCACACCGCGCTGATCCGATGGCAGGAGCCAGGAGCCGGGTGCTTTTCCTGGTCTCCCATGGGGTGCAGGGCCCAAGCACCTGGGCCATCCTCCACTGCACTCCCTGGCCACAGCAGAGAGCTGGCCTGGAAGAGGGGCAACCGGGACCGAATCCGGCGCCCCGACCGGGACTAGAACCTGGTGTGCCGGCGCCGCAAGGCGGAGGATTAGCCTAGTGAGCCGCGGCGCCGGCCTTTTTTTTTAAGATTTATTTTATTTATTTGAAAAGCAGAGACTCCTTCCATCTGCTGATTCCTCCCAGGAAGTGCATAAGCAGGAAGCTGGATGGAAAGCAAAGGGACCTGGATTTGAACCAGGCACTTCAACCTGGGACACAGGGTCCCAGGCAGCAACTTCAGTGCTCCACCAAGTGCTCACCTTGATCTTTTCTTTTCTGAATTAAAAAACAAATAAAAAAAATTTTTTTTTGAAAGACAAATTGAGTTTGTCCATCTACTGGTTCATTCCCCAAATGACTGCAATAGCCAGAGCTGAGCCAACCCAGTGCCAGGAACCTGGAATTCAGTCCAGGTCTCTGACCCAGTGTCAGGGGGGAGGGACACAAGTACATGTGCC